CTTACGCCCTCCAGGAAAGTTGTATGATTTTCTCAAATAGGTTCTGCACATTTCTTCTTATGGTGACTCTATCTGAGAGTTTTAACTGGTGACGTGTATGGTCTTTTTGCGATGGTATTTTCTAATTGATATGGCTGCTTGTATAGGCAGCTTTTCCTTTTTGGTACATCTTGTCACGATGGTATTATAAAACTTCTTTATTAGGGCTGGGGCTGTAGCACAGCCAATAATGCGCTGCTCAGGAGAAGTCAGACCTCTTGTGGTGACCTCGCACAGTCACCTGGGCACAGTTACCAGGAACTGCTGAGAGTGCTCATGATCCAGTGCTAGAACCTGGACGAAGGGAATCCCAGCAGGAGCAGACCCTGTGGCGACTGCTTGCTCCACCCTCCCTCTCCTTCACGCTCATGTGTGCATGCACCTGTTCTATCATGAAATGAAAATATTGAAACTTTGTTATTAGTTCAAATAGTTTATTTATATACTGTTTTCCAACCTGCTTCATTCTGAATTCTATGTAACGATGTAGCCATGTTATTATTTTGCATAATTTCAAATGGCTACATAATAGTTCATCATGCAAAGACAACCAGATTTATATGCCAGTTGTATATTGGGCGTGTTGTTTGTGTGTGTGTGTATATATGTGTATACACACATATATACACATACATACATATATACACATATATACACACACACATATTGTAGCAAGAGATTTTTGCTATAGGGTATGTGTGCTCACCAAAGAGACAAAGAGAAAGCAAAATATCACCTCCCAGTGGGGATGGCCACGTTGCAATCCCTTCTCCTCTATTCTCCTCTTCCTGGAATTTTGAGCACACATGCACATGTACCCAGCGTGAGTTTCAAGCTGCCAGGTCCAGGACTTGAACCACAATCAGTCATGTAGGAGTCCAGTGCTTTAACCACTACACCACTCACTGGCCCCATGAGATATATATTTTTTTTTCACCTAATTTTGAGAATTAACAAAAGCAGTGTAATAATCATCTTGCAGCTAAGTCTTTCCCTGTGGGAGCAATTACTGTTTTAGAGTAAGTCAGAAGTTGCCAAATTATAGTTCCCCCGAGCCAAATCTAGCAGCCCGTTTTTGTAAATAAAGTTTTATTGGAACCCAGCCACCCAGTTGTTCGCATGTTGTCTGTGGCTGTTTCCACACTGCACTGGCAGACTGGAGTTCCTGCGGCAGAGACGGGTTGGACTGAAAAGCCTAAAATATTTACTTTCTATCTGCCCTTCCCAGATAACAGTTTGTCAACCTCTGAGGTAAATTCCAACAAGAGGAAACCATTTTATCAAAAGGATGCAGAATCGTAAAACGTCTTACACATTCATCTTACACATTCGCAGATTCCTTCCCAGGAATCCTGTCAGATGGTGTCAGATTCCTGCTCCCTCCGTGATGCAGGGACTGACTTCTCAAATCTTTCAAATAGGATGGGTTAAAATTAGGGCCTCTTAATACAGTTGAATGTCTTAAAATCACTTTTTTGGGCCTTGAGAATTCTTTCTTCATGAATTTCCTGTCACATTCTCCACCCTGGTGTTTATGGATATGCTCTGTTCTATTTTATTTTTTTCAGAGAGAGATTTTTGCGATAGGGCACATGTGCTCACTGGAGAGACAGAGACAGAGAGAAAGAAAATGAGAAATCACTCCCCCCTCCCCAGGAGGGATAGTCACCACACATTCTCCTCTCTTCCTCTCTCAGGATTTTGGGTACACATGCACATACGCCTGGCATGAGTTTCAATCTGCCAGGTTCAGGACTCGAACCTCAGTCAACTATGTGGGAGTTCAGTGCCATAACCGTTATACCATCTACTGGTCCCAATTTGATTGATTTTTTTAAAGTTTTTTTCTTTAAAAAATATCCATAATCGAGCGTGTGTATGCACATGAGAATGAGAGAGTAGACAGAAAGAGAAGAGCCCCCTTCGCAGGGCCGGCCACAGCGGTCTCCTTCCTCCCATCCTCAGCCCCTCAGACCATGGGCGCTCGTGCCTGCGTCCAGTGCATCTCCGGCTGACCGTGCTGGACATTCCAACCAAGCCTGCCACGTAGGATCCAGCTCCCTTGCGCAGCGCATTCCCACCACACCATGGAGCTACCCGACTGATTTTTAAGAACTAAAAATACTAACTTTGACAATTTTTTTCAGCTTGTTTATTTTTAACTTTGCTTATGATGGCAAAATGTTAAATTATTTTTTTGAGAGGTTTTTGCTATAGGGCGCGTGTGCTCACCAGAAAGACAGAGACAGAGAGACAGAAAGTGAGAAATCACCCCCCAGGGGGGATGGCCACGCCACAATCCCTTCTCCTCCATTCTCCTCTCGAGATCTTGGGCACACATGCACACGCGCCCGGTGTGAGTTTAAGACACCGGGCCCGGGACTCAAACCGCGATCGACTACATGGGAGTCCAGCGACATAGCCATTATGCTAACTGCTGGTCCCAAAATGTTAAATTTTTATAGACAATTCATCAGTTTTGGGCATTATGACTTTGACTTTTGGTATACTACTTAGAAAGGCTTTTCCATTCAAGATGGTAATTTTTATTTTATGTATTTTATTTTGTAAAGTTTATTTATTGCTTTCATGAGGATGACACAGAGGGAGGAACGATAAGCACCCTCTGCAGGTCCCATGCCACGACTCCTACACCCTTCCCAGCCAGGATCATCGGCCCACATGCGCGGCTAGGCCAGCTCAACCTGGAAACTGAACTGGAGACCCTCCATACTGGTATAGCTTCTCTGGAGCAGCCCGTTACTGCCGCGTCACCAAGCCAGTCTCTGCTTTTTATACTTACAGCCTTAACACGTGGGATTAATGTGGGCATCCAGAGTGAGGGAGAGACCAATTTCCTGGAGCCGGCTGCTCTTTGCAATGTTGAGCTAACCAGTCTCCTAATGGGACTTACTTATTGCGTCTCCAGCAAATGAGTGGGGTTTGCTGGCGGCCCAGGTTTCAGCGAATGGGGCCTGCTGGCGGCCCAGGTTTCAGCCTAAGGCCTGAATGGCTCCTCTGCTCGTATTCAGACAGAGCAATGCGGAGCCCTGGTCTTTCCAGAACTCTAGCCTGTGTTTCTCTCTGGACCTGGCCCAGGGGCTCTTACAGCCAGCCAGGGCGGAGTCCACCATGGCTTCCGTTCCTCCCTCCTGAAGCATGCATTTCTTAAAACCATTTATGACAACAGAGCTTTTAAGTTCTAAAAATACCTTTTCTGACAAACAGTGCTGATTCAGCGGTGTTGGTGGAGGTGTGGGTCGGGGCGCCTGCACTGGGGAGGAGGCGGAGGAGTGGTATCTTTGGGGAGCTTGACTTAATCCCTGGCACTTGCACCAGTGGTCCTGGATGTGGTTTTCTGGGTTTCAACCCAGAAAAAAAAAAATAATAATTTATGTATCCCAAGCCTCAGAACTTCCATAAGAATAAAGAGATCCTCACATCATGGCTTTGGGGAATAGCTACTTTGAGTAAGAAAAGGTGGCCAGGACAGATATTGAAATCTGTTTGGTTTATTCTCTCACGATGGTCTACCCTGGGCTGTCTGTCCCCCACTTCCTGCCCCTAATTGTCCATACCCTACCCAGCTGAGCTGGCAGTGAGCACCATGGCCCAGGACAGCCGTATGGCCACCTCCTGCCTGACCCCATCCTACCTGACCCCACCCCATGCTCAAGTGCAAATGGATCTTTAGAACTTGGACTTGCCGAGTTAGCGCTTGATAAACGTGGAGAGGGCACCTGCAGACAGCCGTCTTTTTAAAACTGAGCAGAATGGGCAAGTGTGGGGGTTGTTGCTCTGTGGACAGGAACCGGCACATCTAACTCCATCTCTTTCCAGTCGTCGATTTTCACTGGTCGTACAGGCTCTGGTCTCCTGTTCTCACCTGCTGGTTCCCTAGGAAATGAGGACTTTTTGTTGGATTGTTGTAGCAGGTCATTGTAACACACAAACACACACACACACGCACACACACACACGGTCACACAAGGACAGCTTTCGTTCTCAGAAATGACACAGTCTAAACCAGTCGTTCTCAGTTCTGTCTGAGTGTTGGGGTCACATAAGGGACTTTCAAAAGTTACTGCTGGGGAACCAGCAGTTAGCGTAATGGCTATGTCGTTGGACTCTCACGTAGTCGACTGCGGTTTGCATCCTGGACCTGGTGGCTTAAAACTCAACGCCGGGCGCGTGTGCGTGTGTGCCCAAGATCCCGAGAGGAGAATGGAGGAGAAGGGATTGCGGCGTGACCATACCCCCTGGGGGGTGATTTCTCGCTTTCTGTCTCTCTGTCTCTCTCTGTCTGTCTGGCGAGTGCACGCGCCCTATAGTGGACCTGGAGCCGGCTGCTCTTTGCAATGTTGAGCTAACCAGTCTCCTAATGGGACTTACTTATTGCGTCTCCAGCAAATGAGTGGGGTTTGCTGGCGGCCCAGGTTTCAGCGAATGGGGCCTGCTGGCGGCCCAGGTTTCAGCCTAAGGCCTGAATGGCTCCTCTGCTCGTATTCAGACAGAGCAATGCGGAGCCCTGGTCTTTCCAGAACTCTAGCCTGTGTTTCTCTCTGGACCTGGCCCAGGGGCTCTTACAGCCAGCCAGGGCGGAGTCCACCATGGCTTCCGTTCCTCCCTCCTGAAGCATGCATTTCTTAAAACCATTTATGACAACAGAGCTTTTAAGTTCTAAAAATACCTTTTCTGACAAACAGTGCTGATTCAGCGGTGTTGGTGGAGGTGTGGGTCGGGGCGCCTGCACTGGGGAGGAGGCGGAGGAGTGGTATCTTTGGGGAGCTTGACTTAATCCCTGGCACTTGCACCAGTGGTCCTTGATGTGGTTTTCTGGGTTTCAACCCAGAAAAAAAAAAATAATAATTTATGTATCCCAAGCCTCAGAACTTCCATAAGAATAAAGAGATCCTCACATCATGGCTTTGGGGAATAGCTACTTTGAGTAAGAAAAGGTGGCCAGGACAGATATTGAAATCTGTTTGGTTTATTCTCTCACGATGGTCTACCCTGGGCTGTCTGTCCCCCACTTCCTGCCCCTAATTGTCCATACCCTACCCAGCTGAGCTGGCAGTGAGCACCATGGCCCAGGACAGCCGTATGGCCACCTCCTGCCTGACCCCATCCTACCTGACCCCACCCCATGCTCAAGTGCAAATGGATCTTTAGAACTTGGACTTGCCGAGTTAGCGCTTGATAAACGTGGAGAGGGCACCTGCAGACAGCCGTCTTTTTAAAACTGAGCAGAATGGGCAAGTGTGGGGGTTGTTGCTCTGTGGACAGGAACCGGCACATCTAACTCCATCTCTTTCCAGTCGTCGATTTTCACTGGTCGTACAGGCTCTGGTCTCCTGTTCTCACCTGCTGGTTCCCTAGGAAATGAGGACTTTTTGTTGGATTGTTGTAGCAGGTCATTGTAACACACAAACACACACACACACGCACACACACACACGGTCACACAAGGACAGCTTTCGTTCTCAGAAATGACACAGTCTAAACCAGTCGTTCTCAGTTCTGTCTGAGTGTTGGGGTCACATAAGGGACTTTCAAAAGTTACTGCTGGGGAACCAGCAGTTAGCGTAATGGCTATGTCGTTGGACTCTCACGTAGTCGACTGCGGTTTGCATCCTGGACCTGGTGGCTTAAAACTCAACGCCGGGCGCGTGTGCGTGTGTGCCCAAGATCCCGAGAGGAGAATGGAGGAGAAGGGATTGCGGCGTGACCATACCCCCTGGGGGGTGATTTCTCGCTTTCTGTCTCTCTGTCTCTCTCTGTCTGTCTGGCGAGTGCACGCGCCCTATAGTGGAAAAAAAAAAAAAAACCTCTCCAAAAAAAAACAAACAAATAAAACCAACTCACTGCTGAGTCCCCGCCTCACTGAGATGATTGAATTAGTCTGGGGAGGAGTCGGTCACGTATTTCCAAAGCTCTCCAGGTAGTTCTAATGCACATGCAAGTTTGAAAAACCATCGTCTGAACTAGGAGTCCTCACGCTGTACTGTGTTTTAGAGTGTCCTGGGAACTCGTCCAATTCTTGAGGCCCAGCTGTCCCTCAGGTCAGAGCCCCTGGGGGTGAGACCCCAGCGTCAGCATTTTGTCAGCTCCCAGACGATTCCATGAAGCCACGTCCTGGACAGTGTTATGGACTCTGGCCTGTTCGCATCAGTACTTCTCACCCTCAGGATGGCGTGCAGAGAGGCGTGCAGGGAAGTGGCTCATACACATGGACAGTGGCCGGGGCCTGGTGCGGTGTGTGTGCTGGACAGAGTCGGCTGCCCATCTCCGTGGGCAAACCCCCTCTCCAGGAAGAGAGGTTGGGATTGCGGGGTGCTGGCCCAGGTGCCTGCGCCCGCAGAACACAGCTGCCTGCATGCTCGGTCTCTGGCAGCAGCATTCTTGGAGTCCAGTGAGCCGTGACTTCGGTTTTCCAGGGAGAGGCCCCTGAGTGCCCACGTGGACTTGGGGTGAGCAGGGCCAGGGCGCCTCACGTGTCAGAGCCCAAGCTGGAATCTTGTCAGAGAGGTCCACACCCCTCTCTCCAACACACCCCATTTTAGATCCTTCTGAGGGCTCAGGCTCTGCTCTAGACCGTGCGAGAATGAAGAGCAGGTCACTTTTCTATAACAAAGATCTAGAAAGTTGGCTTTTTCTCTACCCTTCCAATTTGAAAATTTTCAACTTTCAGAAAAGTTTTTTTTTTTAATTTAAGTTATTATTTTAAAATTTGCTATAGAGCACATGCACTCACCAGAGACAGATTAAGAGAGAGAAAAAAAAGTGAGAATGCAAGCCGTCAGGTGTGAGACTCAAATGCTGTTCGACCATGTGGGAGTCCAGCACCTTAACCACCGTGCCACCTGCTGGCCCCACAAAAGTTGTTTTTTTTTTTTTTTCTAGCGAGATTTTTGCTATAGGGCACATGCACTCACCGGAGAGAGAGAGAGACAGAAAGCGAGAGATCCCCCCTAACAGGAGATGGCCCTGCTGCAATCCCTTCTCTATTCTGCTCGGGACTTGGACATGCATGCATATGTACCAGGAATGAGTTTCAAGCTGCCAGGTGTGAGACTCAGACTGCAGTTGGCCATGTGGGAATCCAGGGAGATAACCATTATGTCATCTGCTGGTCCTCATAAAAGTTTTAAGAGTAAAACAATAAATACCCATATAGCTTTTACTTAGAGCTACCCATTGTCAATATGGTGCTACGTTCGCATGCTGTGTGTGTGTACACTTTTTTCCCTTGCTGGACTATTTGGAAGTTATCTGCAGACATTATGACACTCCATCCTTAAATACGTCTGTTCCTAAGAATAAGGACATTCTGCACAAGCACAATGCAGCTGCCACTTGCAGGAGACTTAACCTCGATGTCATGTATTATCTAATATATGTGCCATATGCAAATTTTCTCAATCATATTTCTATAGCTTTTATTTTTTATCTCAGACATAATCCAGGATCATGCAGTATGTCTGGTTGCCATGTCTCTCTAATCTTCTCTAATCTAAAAGAGTTCCTGGGTGTGTATTTTTTCCCCCACTTTACATGACATTGACATTTTAAAGACATTGACATTTTAACTGACTGCAGGCCAGTTGCTCTAAAGAATGTCCCTCAATTTGGATGTGCCTTTATTGATTTTCTAGTCCTGTGGAGGTACAATTGCAATGGAAATGGGAAGTAAAATGAGATGGGGAGATGCTGTCTAGGAAGGATGTTCTTCCGTGTTTGTTTTTTGGCTTCAAAACACATTTAAAGTGCCCATCATTGGTACTTACGAGTTTTCGGCTGAAACATGATCTGAAATACCCCTTCAAACTTGTATCCACTTTAGATTTTGAGAAAATAGCTGTCTAGTTCCAAAAGGGGACGAGGGAGCCAACAGACAGTGTGGAAGGGAAGGCGGTGGGAGCCCACATGGCCAACTGCATGGTTCAAGTCAAGTGAAGGCGGTGGGATCCCACATGGCCAACTGCATGGTTCAAGTCCCAGACTCAGGGGCCTCAAAAACATCCTGAGCGTGTATGTGAGCATGCCCAAAATCTCGAGAGGAAATAGAGGAGAGGGGATTACTACATGGCTATCCTCACTTGGGGGTGGTCTCTCACCTCTCTCTCCTTTGTCTCTCTGGTAAGCACACGTGTCCTATGGCAATAAATAAATAAATAAAAATAACGGATGATGATGGAGTCATCCTCTGCCCTGTCTGTTCAAGACCCACCATGTCTCTCCTCCTCGTGAGCCCGTTGTCCTCTGTGGCCTGTGAGGCCCGCTGCCCACAGCTGAGTGACCGAGAGCCAGGGTTTGGAGAAGGCGGGGAGCTGAAGCGCTCGTGTGTGCATGCTGTGGTCGTGTGGGGGTTGCTGTGGGATGAGCAAAGCCTGGCTTCTGGGGGCGGGAAGCTCTGTGGCTACGGCCGTATCTCCATCCTCTCTGGACCACTGTCCTCGAAGGCCAGATGAGGACGGAGTAGGGCCTTTCTCTCCAGCCTCGGGAGGAACCCGTAAGCAAGAACTTGCCGGTCTTTGGGGGGGCTGTCTTGCAAGTCCTTTCCCCATTGCTCCTTTGGATGTCACAGGAAGGTGTGGAAAGAGTCCGGGGGTTCCTTCATGCCCTGCTCCTGCTCCGTCCATCCCCCACGAGTGCGGTTTCCAGCAGTCCTGTCCCCTCTGCATGTGGTGACTCCACTGGGGTTGTCTACATCTTGCCGTGACAGACCAGGTGCACCCTCTGCTAGAACTTGTGCTGCCACCTGCCCTGTCGCTGCCCTGTTTCCTCTCCATTCAGGCAGACTCCTGGGGGCCCCTCACTGCGCAGGGCGGGGCGGCTGGCCTGGCTGGTCACTGCGCAGGGCGGGGCGGCTGGCCTGGCTGGTCACTG